TATATATATATATATATATATATATATATATAATGAGATATAACAGACAGTAATGCCAAGGAATGTACAGGGGAAGTTATTAACATTAATGGAATGTAAATAAGAAGAAAGAAAAGTGGATGAAAAAATTACCAACTGTAAGCAGAGCATCGAACGCGTAATTCGAAGGTCGTAGGTTCGATTCCTGCTTACAGTTGGTAATTTTTTCATCCACTTTTCTTTCTTCTTATTTACATTCCATTAATGTTAATAACTTCCCCTGTACATTCCTTGGCATTACTGTCTGTTATATCTCATTATTATTGTGTTAAAAACACGGAAAAAACGAGCCCTTAGGTATACACTTCTTTCCCATATATATATATATATATATATATATATATATATATATATATATATATATATATATATATATATATATATATATATATGCCCCCACCCGGACGTTGAAGAATATTTTGTAAATGTCTATTTTCCAGAAAATCGCAATACATGCAAAGAACGAAAATTATGGATACGCCCGAAGTATAAACAGGGCAATGCATGAGTTTGGGCAGTAACTTATTACTGAGCCACACCGATGCTTGAACGTTCTGCAGAAAAAGATTTTGGTAGTGATGTCCGGCAACTTCAATTGTGGCTGCGGTGTTGGCTAACCACCACCTTTGATAACAATGCAATAAGCATGCTCACCGTACCCCTTTAAAAGGGACAAAGCCTCGTCGCTGCGCGTGCCTCCATCCCCAGCTATTGTGTCAATGTACTCTCTCTTAGTTATATAGGAACTACTGTAATGCTGTTCTGGAAGTTTCCGAAAATTTTGATTATAACCTGGTGTTTTTTTAACGTGCAATGACATCGTACAGTAGCAGGCTCTCTTCCATTTGGCCTCCATCGAAATGCGACCGCCGCGACCAGGATCGGATCTGCGTCGTTCGGGTCAAAGGCCGAGAAACGGCCATAGCCACTACACCACCACGACAGTCTTATTTTATCGCTGCTGCGTATACAGAAAGCACCAGCGACGAAGTTCTTTATGGCGAACCCAGCGGCATAGCCAAAGAGTGGCATACAAAAGCCCGAGTCCTCCCACCCCTCCCCTCCGAATTTTTTCGCCATAGCATACAAAGCGAGAAATGACCATTTCAAGACGTGCCCGTCCCACTCCCCAATCTTCGAAAAAAAATTGTCTGCCTACGCCCCTGGACGAGCCCGCAGTGAGCTCATATACTAAATACTACATGCTTGGGGTGTAAAAAAAATGAAAAATAATCTCATGACTGCATATTTATTGCTAACTGAAATTCAAGGATGAAGGGGGACACCGGTAGTCCCCTGTTCAACTTGAATTTGACACTGATATCTTAGTAGCAGTTGCAATTTTCTTCCCAGCTGCGACTTGAGAAGCTCGCGTTGGACTCGCGAGCAATTTAAGGTCTTGCTAGCCGCTCTAAAACACCGTGCCTCAAAAAAAGTGAACTCGTTTTGTATCGTTCCGCAAGAAAGTTTTACGAAGAAAAGGCAACCCCTATTCAGAGCACCCACGAAACCAGTAGAGCCAGTACAGTACATACATTCCATTTTATTGTTTTTTTACATTTCATATGTTTGTTTGATATGTGTGCCTTTGTTTTCATTTCACTGCATGTCACCTCAGTCTGCGCCAAAATGCCTGTCATGGCATCTTTTTTAGTGTTTATTTTATGTTATGCTTTTAATGTAACCGCTATAATTGTCTGTGGGTATTTCTATCGTTGTACCCGACAATGATTCTGTGAAAAATGACGTTATTGAACTGGAACTGGAACCTCGGGTCCCCTACATACATGTTGTGTGCGCGCTATATGAGCCGCCAGCATGGCATTCTGAAGACGCTAACCTGCCGGCACAGCCCCCGTACCTTCTTCTTCTTGTTTGCAGTTTATCGGCCCCTTATGTGGTGAACCCAACGCGCTTATATCAATACCACAATACTTGGTTTCAGCACGAGGAACTCGTCGGAGCACGAGTTGACGCACGCGAACGAAGCGCGCCAGCGAGTGGCTGCGCCCTCTGTAGGCAGTATCGTAAACTCTTTTAGCTTCGCCGCCTTGTTCACGAGACTAGGACTTTGTGCATGAGACTAGGATAACCCTTCTAGCCACCATATGCAACTCTGCGTTGTTGCGAGCATTCGCAATCGTGAGCTAAGTCAGCGGCTTGGTTTGAATGATCTGCCCGCCACCAGCGCTTGCATTCCCGTTCGCGATTTAGCGCGGTTTGGAAGGCTGCCGGATTATCGGTACACAGTTTCTGCCGGAACTCCACCTCCAGGGCCTCTTGTTGTGCCCGGACTACACCATAGGCCCAGCGAATGCGAGCTCTCTCACAATTCCACTGTTGGCACTCAGCTGTCTGTAGCTTACCCATGTGGAATATTTCAGCAGAAACTGATGCGCGTGTGCTCGGCGCCACGGCTGTGACAAGATGGACGACGTCACTCACTACGCAGCCAATAGCTTGCGTGCCTGGGTACAACGCTGACAATGACGTAACTGATAGCACAGCCAATAGAGACTGCTCGTGATACCATGCCGAATGGTTGAACAGCGAATGCTGTATATGGCTAAAGAAATGAAATACCGTTCGGCATCAGTGTCACGAGCGGTCTCCATTGGCTGCACTATCAGTTGCGCCGTTCTAGACCTCTTAAGCAAGCACGCGTCATTGACTGCATTTTGAGTCACGTCATCCAACCTGTCACAGCCGTGGCGTTCGAGAACGCGCGCATCAGTTTTTACTGAGAACTTCTACATGGGTAAGCCATGGACAACTCTAGAAGAGTGCTGACAGTGGAAATGTAGGCCAATTCGAGTTCGCCAGGCCGACGGTGTACCCCGGGCAAGAAAACAAATTTGGGAGGCCGAGTGCCGGCACCAACAGCAACAGATGATCCGGCAGCCTCTCGAGCCGCGCTAAATAAGGAACGAGAATGCGACGGATTCTGAAAACCGTTCCACCGAGTTAGATCGTGATGTCAACGCTTGCAACAACGCCACGCCGAACAAGTGGCGTTGCGACGTCAACGTGCTGTTTGCGGGAGCTTGTTCGGCGGGCAGAACGCCCGCTTTCTTCGGGAGTTTCTGGAGCGAAATATTGGCTTCAGCGGGGACGTCTATGACCGCCTCTGGTGCGAGAACAAACACTGTAATTACCACATTCTCAAACCAATTTACTGCTCATAACACTCTTCCATGACCGCGATCCGGCGTGGCACAGTGTGCGGCATGTGAAATAAACACTGTAGGAAGGCCAAGTTAACGGGTCCCTAACCTAATTAAGGAGCATGAACATGTAACCTGTAATTGTGAAAGGCTTCATTGCCACGTCGGGTTGAACCCATTGCTAAACACTGGGACCGCACGCTTCAATTTTCGCTGGTTAACGAGTATACAGAGTGCTGGGGTGGTGATTTTTACGTTTCTCCTAGCAATTTCTTGCAACTTTGGCTGTAACAGGAAACAAGTGCTAAGAGAAACGAAACAACCGCGTCAGGAATGCACACGCCAAGCTTGACTGTATTTCTCGGGCAAGGCAACGGTTTCACAATTGTTTTAATAATCTTACAATATCACAGTTATGCCTCTCCCAAAATATGTTCACCCCATTCATATGTCAGCAGAAGGCAGGCCAGAGCCAAAAGTCTGCCAAAAAAAAGCATAAAATCAGGCTGAGGAAAACTCGTTTGTTGACGTGGCTTTCATGACCAATGAACAAGCCTTCACAACAGTACTTGTGAACGGCAAAAGTGAACTAGTCAACTCGGCTTCCACCTACCCCGCAAGATCAGAAATTACCGAGCATGTAGCCAAGTACAACTTTAAGAACCAAGTTTGAGCATTTTACCAGGCTCTGGCAATGACCAAGGGAAAAGTAACCAAGCCGCAGACGATTCTGTTTCGTTTCTCCTCACATTGGAGGAACCAACGGTACTCGCGCAAACCTCAACGAATCAGCCCACAGTGCTGCACGAGGATTTGTCAACCATGCAGCCACAAGGCAAGAATATGCAAAAAAACACCTCCTCTCACACAACGAGCTAACAAAACATTCGCACTATGCACGCGGAATCCTCCACCATCCACACAATAAACTAAACAGAGCTCAAGCCATTACGCTAAGGCTGTCACAAACGAGAATTCACCCATACCACCTTTTGATTAACATAATTTATCTGGCATTATGTGCTCCTATAACATGCGATAAATGACACGGCACCATAGATATCGCTCATGTGCTCTCGCGTTGCTCCGAGTTACGCAATCTTGTATTAGAGGGGCATTTATGGGCAGAAAAACGGGACCGCAAAGCGGCTGAAAAGCTAGATCCTTCGGTGTCAACGTGGGAGGAGTGTGCTTCGGGCTAGGACACTATTGAATACTATTATTGTCCTTTCGTCCATACATCTCTACTCAGTGCATCATGTTACGCATTACGGATGAACGGATCGACGCTCTTACACACTTAGTGATTGAGTATTCTATTGATGTTTAGTACTTAAGAAAGAACTGGTTCTTGGTGCGCATGAGCGTTACTTTACGTGCTGAAATTGGTACTATATCAAGATGTTAACGTTGTCATACATGCCGCGTGTTATTCAATAAAAGGGCTGATAGGAATGCAGCTGTTTGTTGAACAGCGCCACCCCTCGCACTTGGTTTGTGATAGCGCAATCTCGGTATTGCTGGAATTTGGTTCAATGGCTATCTCTCTATCCCCCGCGTGTTTACACCGTTAATGCGCACTAAGGTAATTATGTTCTTATAGTCAATTATTATTTTTCGATGTTTTGATGGCCTTCAAAATGTAACATCAAAATACAATGGTTATTTGACTCATACTGTACAAAAGGTATTATACCGCTACACAAAGCAATGAAACATCCTTCGCAACACCTTGAGAAAATCAGTCCATGATAGGAGCTAAAATAAGTTTCGCGGGTGATATGCAGAACATTGTACCTGGATTCCATGAACGTCGAAGCACCACGAACAGTGCCAGCCGGCGTAACGAGGCCAGGTCCCCTTAATGATCCATTTGCGCTGGGTTGCTCCCGTGTGGGGAAGGCTCTTATGCACGAACGAGTCAGTTCTTCGAAGTTTAAGGGTGTCGTTCTGGTACACGTTGCGCAAGAAGGCCACCGTGCAGGCACCGCCAACTTCGACCGGTCTGGAGTTCTCCCAAAAGAACCCGTACAGAAACCAGCGCAGACTCACGCCTACTGGCTCCCCATACCCGTCGTGGTGCTTGAGGAACAGCAAGACGTCGCGGCTGGGTATTTCGTCGGCGTCTGCTATCATGAAGAGGTCATCATCGCGGAGGTGTTTCAGGATGCTCTGGCCCTCAAGCCATATGGACCTGCGAAAGTGGTTTTCAGGCGCCCATGGGTCCCCATCGCCGTAGTTGTACACCCCAACGGTGAGAAGGATGATCTTGTGGGCGTTTTCGCGGAGGAACCCCGTGCTCAGTTTCGACCGCAAGTGAAGTGGTTTGACAGTTCCGAAGAAAGTGTAGTTGGACTCGCACACGACGTAGTGATCAATGGCGTCGCCCAGCTCGTTGATGCGGATTTCAAGGAGGTCCAGTTCATGGTTGAATACAAAACCATTGACTATGGTACGTGGTCGCGAGCGCCGTGTAATAAGACCACTGGAATACCAGATTTGGAACTCCCTCGTGGTCCACACGGCGTCAGGAATGGAGCACTCATCACCGTTCCAACCCTGGCGACACACGCATTTTGCGGTCGATAAGCCGGGCACAGTTCCCTCAAAAAAGCAGCGTGGCGCGCCATGAGTATTCACTGTGGCTGCATTCGTAAAAACGTTCTTCTCCACTGAGATGTTCATTCTTCTTAAAACACGAGCCTGTGCACTCTCTAAGACTACGTGGGAACTGTGCGTGGCTGCCCAATTAGTCAGCAAGCGACTGCGGAGTTTCTTGAAATGATCCCTTTCTCGAGGCCATTTGAAGTAAATGGCCAAGAAAAATACTGCTAGCCCTATAGCACAAACGAGTAGCAAGATCTTACGTGGCCTGGTCGACATGACATCAGAAAACTCCAGATGGACATCGATTAAATGGTGCAGCAGAATGTTTTTACCACTTCCAGGGGGCACGAACAAAAATGCGCTGAACCAGCTGTAGCGCACAACCACTGCGTGCGCTTAACAGCTGTTGTGAGCACTGCTTCCGCTCCACATAGGGCCAGGTTGCAGTTAAAAAATAGCACATATTTATGACCATGTGCACAATGAACGGACGTGGTGAAAAAGAGAAAACAAAAAAGGTGAGCATGCATGTTTTTATCGCCGTTTGAAATCGCGTTTTCCAAACACTTTGTGGCACATTTCTTTCGTTTTATTTAATGCTTCAGAATTCTTATGCGACTCACCCTGGGAGTACGTTCATCTGTCTTTGCGTAATACGAGGCATAGTGCGCTATATAAAAATTCTCAGAACGTTTGGTGATGATGGCATATTATGTACGAGGCTTTACACGTTCAGAACCTGTTTGTATTATTTGCAATCTAAGCGCTCAGTCCACCGAAAGGCGATATGTCTGAACCGCTCATGCCAACAATGGCGATGGGCACGTGATGGGATTGTGGCAATCACTCTGCCCTGCCCGCGGTGTGGCGGATGAGCGGACGTGTGTTCCCGATAACTCTTATTAGGGAAAGCCACGCGCGACCACTTATCAGCCTCCCCTACTTGCTCCTCTGCGAGCATCAAGAAACACGCAACAGAAGACCAGCATGAAAGAAGACGGAGGTGAACAAGTGCTGGAATCGTTAATCTTATTCACGTAATGCAAGCGCAGTATTTTCATAGAATATATAAGTTCATTTATCTTTCTTGTAACTTTAGTTTTACGAGAGCTTATCTCAAGCGCAGAATGCAAAACACCCTCTCACATTCGCAATATATGCGATTTGTAGTCATCGATTGGTATGTTACTGCGATTGCCCTATTTTTTGCGTAGGCAAATGGCTTTAAGGGGCCTCTGGAACGGTATCTGAAACTGTGCAGAGCGAGAGTCTGTCTCATTATAAAGTAAAGCGCACTATATCTTAGGTAAAGCAGCTGGCATAGACGCAGCTATGGCTCAGTGGATGCTGCCCCCCCCCCCCTACCTGTTCCTTTAAAAGCGGAGTATTTCTTAGTTGCACGATGTCGCGCTTCGGGTGCGGTGGTGGCGCCGTCCTCAACCCCACTACGCATGCTCGCATCTCGCGCCTCGTGCCGCATGCTTGTGTCTCATTCCAGCCCAAGGATACACCCACCAAACTTTCGCTCCCCTCCCCCTCTTTCTTCTCGCAAATGCGACGCAGGCAGCGTCTGTTAGTCAAAAAATGACTGCTCACGCTGCACAACCGTTCACTGGCCTTCGTGTTGGGAATTCCGTCAAGGATGTCTTCACTTGGCTTTCGCTTGACGTTGAAAGCAACGCCTCTCCTTCATTGAATAAATAAGAATATAAAAGACGAAATAAGAAATAAGTATTAACAAACCATACCCAACTATGCAACCTACACTCTATACCCCCACCACTCGGCGGCGCAGTTATTCGAGTTCCCCCCACGGGAAGATGCAGGCGGCAATTTTTCTCAACTCTTTGAGGGCGCACTGGTCGCTCACCACGACTCCACCTCAAGCCTTCGAAAGTGCGACATTCAGTTCTGTGCCACCAGGTGCCTCAACGTTGCCGGTGATTGGCCGCATAAAGTTTCCTACATTTACCGAGAGGGAACTCTGGCACTAAAATCACACAGCCCCTATGATAATGATGGGCAGTTCACGGACTTACCTTCCCTTCGTGCTTATGAGTTCAAACGTGCTAGAGCTTCATGTAGGGTTGCATTTAGGCAATCATTTGTTCCGGATAAAACAATGCATCGTTTTGAACTACGTGAGCCGATTCGAATTGGTGAGCATAAGAATGTTAAGGTGGTGAAGTGGAACTGAAGAATATTGGCTAAGTTTTGTCTTGTGACAGAACGGATGCAGGCCACACGAAGTGACAATTCTGCTAGAGCGAAGTTTAGACAAATTCATGTATCACCCATTATTCCCATGCTAGCTGAAGTTCCATACCAGCTGATGCGTTGCAGCTTTCATAGACACTAGCGCCAGTCACATAGACACAATTTGTTCCATAGACACTAGCACCATACACACTCGGGTGCTAGTGCTAGTGTCTATGGAAGCTGCAACGCACGGCACTTCAGCCAGCATTGAAACAGGGGGAGGGTGGGGGGGGCAGCATCCAACGAGCCATAGCTGCATGTATGCAGGCTGCGTCGCCTTAATTATGGTTCGATCGGATCGACTTCATAGTGAGGCAGACTCATGGCGTTCCAGGAACACTTTAATGCCCCATTATAAAGCGAATCTACGGCCGGCCGATTGCATTTACTTCTAAGTACATAGAAAACCTGAACTACTGAGAACCACAGGAGAGCAAGACCGTGAATAACTCAACTTTGGTCCATTTTTGTCCGATTGGCCAGTGGTTTGAGCTGTTTATCATTATCTACGTGTACTTACCAAATGGCCCACATGAGTACTCTGGTAATTATCAGTAGTTCGCCAATAATTTTCAAATGCTGAGAAGCATGCTTGCGCAAACCAATATTATGGTGTGGCATCTTGACAAGAAAGAATTTAATTCAAAGAGTGCGAAAATTACAAGGACTACGGAAGCGACAGAGCACTGCATTGAAGTTTTGTCTCCATTTTACCGAATTACATGTTTTGTTCTTGCGTGTTTTTGTTTATAATCGCTATGCACATTTGTCAACTTACCCAATTGAATCATATCTGAACGTGACAGCAATCGCTAGATTTGGAGACCCCAACTCGATGCAGATTTCTGGTGTTAGATAAAAGAATCCTCGATATCGGCACTGGTATCAGCGCAGCCACGCCAACACGATGCACGTTGCAACACAAGCAGACGATGCTCCTCATCGGCAGGAAGCTCGCTAGTAGAAAATTGTGATGTTGCTTTCCCTCATAGTTAATATAATAGCCATTAGAATATAAATACTTCGTTCATTTGAAGAAATATTATTGCACTACAGTGATTCATCTCTCCCGTTATTTATTTATTCAATACTGCAGACTCGAGGTCCAAGCAGGGTGGTAATACACATACAAATAAAATAATTGCGAAACGAAACAATAAAGGCCGAAGAAGGTTGTTTGGTAGGTTTGTTCATTCATCACATGTATTAGTAAGACAGTTCCATTCGAATATGGTTCTTGGAAAGTACGAATACTTCAGTAGGTCTGTGCGAGCAAAATATGAGATCAAGGCCTTTGGGTGGTGGTGTCGGGTGGGCTGGCTACTAAGGGGTGTCAAATACGGGGATGGGTCTAGAGCTATTTTTTTGTTCAAAAGTTGATCAAGAAATTCTAATCTAGCTTTTTGTCTTCGCATCTGCAGTAAGGGAATGTTGTTGGCTAGCATTAAATCTGAGGGTGAGTCTAACTTGGAGTACTTGTTGAATATAAATCTAACAGCTTTTCTTTGAATACGCTCAAGAGTGTGTATATTACGTTTTGTATAAGGATCCCATACTATGCTAGCGTACTCTAGTTTTGCCCGCACAAGGGCTGTGTAACAAAGTAGTTTAACATTCGTGGGAGCACTTTGAAGTTTATGTTTAAGAAGACATAGTTTACGAAAGGCAGATGAACAAACATTATCAATATGGAGATTCCAAGATAAGTTGGAAGTGAGTGTCACACCAAGGTACTTGTAGAAGTTTATTTGTTGCAGTGGTGAAGACCCTAATATGTATGTATACGATTGTGGATTCTTTTGGCGAGTCACTGGAAGACACATACATTTGTTCGCGTTGAGACACATTCCCCATTTGTTGCACCATTCATATATATTGCAAAGACTAGTGCTCAGATCGTTGAAATAGTTAGTGGAACGTATTTTTTTGAACGAAACACAATCATCTGCAAACAATCTTATTTCCACATTAGGGTGAATAACATCAACAATATCATTGATATACAATATAAAAAGCAAATGGCCTAACACACTGCCTTGTGGTACGCCCGATGTGACCGGAAGACAGTCCGAATATTGGCCCCCTACATCAATGTACTGTTCGCGATTATTTAAATACGCAGAAATCCAACAAACGAATATTTTGGGTATACCTATTGTTCTAAAGTTGAAAATGAGTTTACTATGGGGAACTTTATCGAAGGCTTTGCAGAAATCTAAGAAGAGCATATCTGTCTTACCGTGTCTATCGATGTTTAATACAAGAGAGTGAAACAGTGTGACGAGTTGAGTTACGGTGGATAATCCTTTCCGAAAACCATGTTGATACATGGTTGATATAGAGCGTTCTTCAATATACTTGTTTATACTAGCAGCTATGATGTGTTCAATAATTTTACAACATTGTGAAGTTAGTGAGATTAGATGGTAATATTCTAGTGCAAAGCGGTCCCCCTTTTTAAAGATGGGTACAACGTGGGCTGTCCTCCAGTCACTGGGCACCTAGGAAGACAACAAAGAACTGCGAAAAATAATAACCAAAAACTTTGCAAGAGATAATGCATATCGTCGTAGAAATACGTTTGGTATGTTATCAGGACCACAGGATGCCTTAGTTTTTAAATTTAGCAACATAGACACCATGCCTGGATAATAAATAAACAGTGCTGAAGCATAAGGAAAGGCTGTAGCATTAGATATACAGTTGAAATCAGAAGTGTTGAACACACTCTGGAAATGTCGATTAAAATGCCGGGCAATGTCTCTCTGATCGGTGACGTTGGTTCCATCAATTAATATTTGGGATACAGGTCTTTTCTT